TCTAATTTGCCCAGGGTGCCATATGTGTTGGTGGCATCTCAGAGCAGGGGCCTCCAGCCCCGCATGCCTCCTGTCAAGAGTCTTATCCACAAGGCGGCAATACAGAAAGGCTTTGACGCCCTCCCATCTCTAACATAGGATGAGGTTGTAGCCAATGTCCCGAGTTCTGGAAAAACAGCCAGCCCTAGCAGGAAGTGCCCAAGAGGGAAGTCTGGGGGACGCGCCACCTTGGCAGGAGCCCTCTGGGCTCCATCTGCCTACCGTCCACCCAGCTGAAGAGCAGTCCTGAGCCAAGCGGGAGTGGGGTGGGTACCGCTTACAGGTGGGATGGGCTCTCTCCAAGTCTGGACATGGTCTACAGGAGTTTGCACCGGAAGACCCTGGCTGGCATGGAGAGAGGCCCACACGCTGGTGCTCAGGTCCAGCCCTCTCTGCTGTCTGTGTGGACGGTCAATCTAGGCTCCTCCCACCTCTGGAGAGACAAAGGGCCAGGACCTCACTGGTCAGATGGGTGGCTGGCACTCTGCACCTCAGCCTCTCCGTGGGCTGGCACTGACGGCGTCAGTCTGCATCTTCAGTCTACTCAGTGGAGACGGAAGGGTCCCACATTCTGGGAAGACTAACCTTCATGGCCCCGGGCCTCCCAGGCCTTCTGACCAGTCCGCCCTGCTTGTACTGTTCCTCTGGACTAGAAGGTCCTGTCCCTCCCTTCTCCCACTCTCCAAGTCCAGCTCCGTGCTTCCCGACCCAGCTCGAACTTCACCTCTTCCTCCAGAAAGCCTTCACTAGCCTGAGCCCCTAGTTCCTTCTCCAAGAGCCCAGGTGCTGAGAACTCAGCAGCTAATCTCTCCTTTCTTTCTCTTTCTCCTATTTCTTTCTCTCTCTCTCTCTCATTCCCTCCCTCCCTCCCTCTCTTTCTCTCTTATTGGTAAAATTTTTATCATGAGGCATGTACTCTCCCTGGAGAAAGACAAAGGGAGGGAGAGTGAGAAGTCACAGGGTGGGGGAGGGACAGAGATGACCATGACATAATCCCTTCTCTTCCATTCTCCTCTCAGGATTCTGGGCACGCATGCACACGTGCCTGGTGTGATTTTCAGGCCACTGGGTCTGGGACTTGAACCATGGAGTTAGGCGTGTGGGATCCAGTGCCTCAACCACTGTGCCACCAGGCCCTCCTTGTGTTAATTATTAAGTTGGTAGTGAAGTCTTGGCTCCTCCACCGGACTACAACCCTCCCCCAGCTCACTCCCTTGAAGCAGGGTCAGTATTCACCTCTGCAACCCCAGCAGGCACTTGGGTGAGACTGAGTTCTGGAGCCTGGATGCCCCAGGTGAAGGGAGGAGACAAGGGCAGGGTGAGGATCAGGGGTGGCCCTAAACACCAAGAAGGCTGGAGAATGGGGACTCCTTTGAAGCACGCAGGTTTGTGTGACTCCACTGGTCAGTCCCAGGCCACCACACTGAAAACCAGAGAGGACCTGAGCTGGCCAGTGAGGCTGGGTCGAGTCGGTTTTATTTTAGGTCTGAAGGCTCCAATTCCCCAGGAAATTCAATTTAGAATCAAGAGCAGG